GTGTAATAGTTACAATTAGCTTTAGGCTTTTAGTGTGTGTTGGACTGGGATTTGACTTTTAAGCTATGGAACTTTAAACCTTATATGTTTACCAGGGAAACTACCAGGGAAACTACCAGGGCACCTGCAAAAGGTCCCTCAAATGTGAAGTCTTCTAGATAGAGAGGGACAGTGTATCCCTCCGGAATGCTGGATTGGGAACTCGAAACTGTGTGATAATCGAGAATCTCATCGAATCGCAAATTTGAGATTCAAGAAATTTGCGATTCAAGAAGCGCCATTACCATTTCCAATATCTGCATAATAGAGATGGACCATTCTATGAAATAAGCCAGCACATTTATTGGCATATGCCGAAATAGGGGCCCAAAGAGCTTAATCCCAAATGCACCTTGGGCTAAATCAATCTACATAGCCCTAGAAAGTTTTTTTGTGCGTTTCCCAATGCAGTAGGCCCAAAATTGCCGAGTAGGTATAAGAATAAACGGGAAGGGGTGTTTGTAAAGTGCACTACTCCGCCTATTCACCGACAGATCAGGGTTTTGACGCGATCACCTGGCAGTCCCTGGATACTCCCGTAGACCGTTTGGTGCACTGATAACATGTTCTTGTTTGTACTGTATATCATCATATGTTATGTATGATTCGGGTATACATTGTTTTCTACAATTTAATATTACAAGGAGCATTGTGAGGCAATGCATCGTAGTATTGTAAAAGAATTTCTATTGACTAGTATTGTAGGTTCTGGAATACGCTTTTGGTAAAAGTGGGTTCTCTGTTTCAAAATCTGCAAGACTATCCATAGTAGCGAGAGGCATACGACTTTGTGGATGTAAGTATAGCGCTTAAAGGATAAGTAAACACGAGAGGTGCATGGATAGGGTAGTCCCGGAAGCCTAATTGAAGAATACGAACAATCTTACATTTCGGAGTTAAGTGCGATTGATAGTTAGTATCTGACATTCACAAAATAGTGCTAACATGCGGTAATATTTTTTTATGTTTGTTCTTGTGAGTTGTCAGTTTGATGTAGGTACGAAGCTCGAAGAACAAACTTACGTTTTTAATTAACTAACAAAAAAATTGAATTAGTCGTATACGTTTTGGAAATAACTGGTTCCATTCAATTCTTTGTCCAAATTGTAGCAGATGCCATTGAGTATGATTTTTCTAAATTTCTCGATTCCAGTGCCGTCATTAAGATCATTGTATTTATCGAGTTCGATATCTTCTGCATTACCTCTGTTTAGATCTACAATTTGGATGATGAGGTCATTGATGAAGTGAGATACGCATTTTCCAACGGGTCTGAAAAGATGATCATTGAATTTGCATGGTTCAAACTCAGATAGCGCATCGTGGAAGATATCTACTTCCTCCTCATCGTCGTATTCGTGTTCTTCGTAGTTTTTATGGTCTAAGCATTTGAAGGGAATGGAGAAAAGGTTGTCATGGAAGTTCCAGGTATTTTTCTTGAAGGGATATTTCAAATAGTCAAGATCACTCAAAATGTCGTTACCATGGAGTCTTCTACTAAGCCATTCACTGATAGTTACAAATAGATTACTACTAATAATATCTTTGAATTGGTGAAGCTTGAAGTTATAATACTTATGGCACATAAGGTATTCATCCAAGTCACCCAAATAAACTGCACAATGTTCACACTTGCAACCATTCCACAACAAATTATTCATCACTTGTTCGTAACACGACAAACTCTTCATGAAGTTAGGCAAAACCAATGTAGCTCTATTTGATTCAATAGCCGTAGGTAAGGTTTGTGTGTACAACTTTACCCGTTGTAAATAGTTTCCTTCCATTCCATCTAAAAACACTCCGTTTTCACAGGGCTTGTGTCGAATAGAAATGTATTTCAATGTTTTAGTATCGACCTCTTGTAATATGCCTACGACCTTAATGTCCCATATTTCATTATATTTATGTGTATCAATTACTTTTTCAGTATTCTGGACAAAGGCAATCTTTTTCAACAAATAAACCGGAAGCGATAACTTCGACAAACATTCTTGATTACATTTCACATCATCACATCCAATGGCTAATTGTAAGGATTTAATTGTTTTCCAATTTATAATAGAACTTTTAATAAATCTCTCTATAAGCGGTATATCATCGTGATAATAGTTCAACGTAAATGTACTTAAACTTAGTTGAAATGCAATTTTGTCGTTAATATAATTCAAAACTTTTATAAAGGACTTGTAAGACTTATTATCTGTGCTTACGCTTATTGATTCAAGCTGTTTTAAACTTTTTATCAATTGTTGATTTACTTCAAGCTCACTTAATTGACGGTCTTCTTGGGTGTCCTCTTGGAATGATATAAGTAGTTCCTTTATCTTTGGAAAGTTAGTTATGCAGTTTAATTGGTTCACTTTATCGATTATTACCGATTCAAGTTTCTGAAATCCTTCTTTCAATATGATTGTATTCACCTGGTTCCGTAATGCGGGATTGGTAATTATCAACCTTTTCAAGCCAGAGTTAACAAGCGTAGTAATTAATTTTATCAAAGATTCGTTAATGGTTTTATCAAAAGAATCAAATATTGTAATTTCTTCAATATAGTCATTTAGTTTTGCATTGATCGAAGTAGAAGAAATAAGAGATTGGAGCCGGGCATTGATAAGCTTGAAATGATTTTCTTCCTTTGTAATCTTACTGAATCCATAGATCACAGTTTGAGTAGAATCGGTGAAGTCAATTCCTCTTTTATTATCCTTATTTTGTTTAAGTATTGGGTCTTTTCTAATTGTGATCTTCTGATACAATTTTTTCATACATGGTTGATAAAATTGAAAGTTTGTTAGCGATAAATTGATTAACTCTTGTTGGGGTAAGAAAAACAATATATCTTCAACTATTTCTAACGGCACATCCAATAACAGTTTCATCTTTCTTGGAATTTGTGGTATGAATCTTTGCTAGTGATATTCTTTCACTAACTTCACCGATTTTAGCACACCTTTATGCGCATTCCTACAAGTACCCAACATAATTTGGAAATCAGGCGATAATCATTAATTAGAACCTATTTAACAGTACAAAATCCAAAACTGCTTGTTATCTTGAATATGAAGCTGCTGGACTTTCAATTGAAGTGTAAAATTATATTTAATTTAATGAGAATAAAGTATGAATCTAATGCAAATATTCATATAAATAGAAGTAGTATCCTTTTATGTAAGAAGTCAAATTCTCGATTTATTCTTCATCCTTAATACCAGCGATAGCTCTACCAGCATAGTATAATGGGAAAACAGTAGAAACGGTGAATAAAGCGTAGAATGGGAAAACAACGAACTTGGAGTGCTTACCTCTCAACCATAATTTCTTGTTGGAGTTTTGGTAAAGCTTTTGTAATTCAATAATTCTTTGTGGGTTGGCCATTTCGAACTATACATCGTTAGTATTCTCTTTCTGGTTGTCTTTAAATATGACTTGTAAGCTCAATCCCATGCCTCGACCTCGACTCGCTTATATGCAATTAATAATACACTCTTTCACGAATAACAAGACATTAGCGGAAGGAATCAACAACATCACTCATGCGTATACATACATTCTCTTATATCCTACTAATTATCAAAATATATTAATATTACTATTGCTTAAAGAAACATCAGTTGATTTTAGTACTGAATTTTCAGTGAACCAATGATAATTCGATTTTAGGTGTTTTGTGTAATATGCACATTTTACCCAAACGTTTTGGTGAGACTCGATTTGTGCAAGCTCGTTATCTATGCTTTTTGAATACTTATTCTATTCATCATCATCATCACTAATGTTTATAACTCTCGGCCTTCTTTGGATAATGTCATCCGTGTCATCGCTATGATATTCCAATGCATCATTATGGAAATCTTCCAAAGCTCTATGTAAATCCGTTTCGTAATCGTCGTTCATTGAGCTTCCTAAGCTCTGATTATCGAACCCTGTCCATTCTTCACCATTTATTTCACGCACATCATCGTCTGAAGAATCTCCACCGCTCAAATCAATAGATGGTATACCATTATCAATAAAACTATCTTCGCTATCATAGTCTTCCCTGTTCGGACCATAGCGTGAAGTTTCTTCATCATCCTCATCATAGGCATCTCCATCGTCCGAATCGTAATATGAATCATCTCTTGGTATACGAAATGTGGTACCACAATGTAAGCATACTGTTCCATGCGCTTCCCAATGACAATTTCCACATCTAGGCACGCCGTCCGATCTATCTATTAAAGTTAATGCTGATTTGAATGCATCGCCAAAAAGAGCGTTTTGTTCAAAATCCTGCTGATATTCCTGAATAGCTTCTTCTCTTTGGCTTTTTATTCTCTCAGCTTCATCCTTATCATTTGACATCTCAATTATCAAGTCTGATATGTTTCTACTGATTTGCCGCAACGGAACGTTGAGAACAGGCTTATTCTCATTAATTTCTCGACAAGTAGGACAATTCATCTTGACTCCAAACCACGTATAGAGACATTTATAACAGCTGGAATGCCCACACTGCATCATGAAAGGTACATGCATTATTTCTTGACACACTGAACATTCTATTGTGGCGTGTATCTTAGCGATCAAAATACTCTTCAATTGGTCATCCTATAAATTATTAGCAAAAACATTCCGTCTAGTTATGATACATTTATTATAACCAAATACATACCATTGGAGCCCATACTTGAAGATTTCCCTCTATCTCCTCCATGTTATTACCTACTTTGTTCTTTTCTTCTTCTCTGATCTAGTCATTTTACTATGTATTATGTATTGTAAAATATTGTGTTATATACAGGAAAATAGAGATCTATATCTTTCGTTCATCTCCTTTATCAGCTATCCACCTATTTAAAAATGTGAACATCTGCTGAATTTCATTCATAATATCCGTTCTATCCTTGGTTAGTCTAACATCTATATCACCAATAAGCCCCCTCAATGCTTTTAATGCAGGGACTATAGTATACTGTGGTGGTGGCAATTTCATTCCAAGTTTTGGGGCATTTTCTATCAATTCTCCATTTGCTGCAACATAACTGTAAGTCTTTTCTCGGTGATGTTGTAAGTTATTTTGCTGCTCTTTTAGTTCTTCAATTTTCAATTTCTGCATCAACTTTTTCTCTATATAACAACATTGTGTATATATGTACGGGCTTAGTACAATATCATCTATAGGAAATTGCTGAATTGTATCAATCATATTAAAATACTCGTGGCACGCCATGTAATTACGCAATTGGATGTTGAGCTTAGCCATATAAGATCTATCATTCATCTCTTCCAACCTTGTTCCATTTAAAAGGGTAGTCGCTTGAGGATGCAATCCGTTATTGTAAAAAATCCTTCCCAATAAAATTCTATTATTCGAATTTAAGTGGTTGATTCCATCCGAATAATATTTGAAGAGCCTCGACTTGGTAGTGTCAACTTGTAGATCTAAGATAGATAATTTTTGTTGCTTGGTAGAAGGAAGCCTAATAGTATCCAATAAGTCAAATAACTTACGTCTATTTTCTGCATTCAGCCTTCTAAATGTTCTTTCAATTACCTTATAGTCGGGTTTAACACCTTTTCGCAAAATATCTCTGAATCCCTTGGTAACCCTGAAATTGACTTGACCTGTAACGGGATCTGCTTTACCTCTCAAATTCCTTGTCCATGCTATCCTAGACCAATCACACGATTCATATTTTTTCGAGTCCAATATGTTTTTATGAATGCCATAAGGGGTATATTGAGATTCAAGCCTTACTATTTTCATAGATGACAAATAACGTTCCTTATCATAGTCTTTAAACATATTATTTTCTTTAATCCACCAGTGAAACTTATTAGTAAACTCATCTGCATAATGAGGATAAGTAGTTACGAAACCATGAAACAAATCTCGTAAATACGTCTCATTAAATTCCAAGTTCTTTGAAATAGCTTTCAAAAAGTTGAACAATTGCAAAAATTTTTCATGTGTAGCATAATATTTACTAATTACACTGAAAAATTTTTCATCTAGATCCATACCTTCTTGTTGCATTTTGTATATCACAAATTTTATCATTTTCAAATCCGAGTATTTGCTAAACATGACCATAAAAGAATAGTAAAAATCCTTCAATTCTTCCTTATTATCCTTCAATTCTTTCGCAATTTCATTAAATTCAATTATGTCCTCTTTCAATACGTCCTTCTTGAAGTTATTTGGGTCTCTTCGTATTATTCTATACTTTAAATTCGTCTGTCTTATCAAAGTGTGGTTAGAGTATCCTAAAGAGGAAACCAAACCCTTTAATAGGCATATTTCTTCCTTTGTGCCATACTTGTAATATTCGCCTAAGATGTTGGCCATTGTTTTAGGAGTTGGCAGCATACAGTTCTTAGCTTTGATCCATGATTCAAGTACTGAGACCATATTTTCGAATAACGAATCTACTTTAATAAATTGGTGAATGACTACATCAAGTACTGATGCATCTAGTGGTTTTCCTAGGCTTATTATATTCTGGAGTAATGTTTTGGAAAACTCAACTTCATAATTTAGTATAAAACCACTCATAATATAACTTATCACTTTAGAGTCATATTCTGGTTGTTTTAGATAAACGTAAACTAGCTGTTGCAATGTATTTACATTATCCATATGATAGCATAACCAGATATAATTCTCTTGAAACTTTTTATTATTGAACATTATCTTCTCGTATGATTGGCAAACATAATATAAATGCGGAATTTTGTCATATATGAACCGGTAATATGGGGTGTCCAAAGGTAGCCCCCTATTACGCTGATATCTTGGTAATTCGGCCTGGCACTCATTTGGTAAGACCTCTCGTTTAGGTTCACCTTTAATGGCCATTTCGAATATTTGGTTTATTATTTCTGGTTCAACGAACTTATCTTCTTCTTTGTATGCATTTAGCCTTTCAGCTACCACGCCTATGTTCTGCTCTTGCATCAATTTAATAATTTCCTTTCCAATAGAACTTTTGTTCTGTGAACGATGATCATCAACTGTCAATTCAGAAGGTATGTGAATATTATTGGGTTGGCTAACGAACAAAGTACTGGATATTGTGGAGCTGTATTTATCTTCCTCGTGCTCCCTATATCGCCTTTCTCTTTCTTGTTTCTCTGCAATATGATTGAATATCTTGGATGGTATAGTTTTGGAAGTCTTCATCAACCAATTAGTGTATGAATGATCGAGTAGTTGCGAGTTGGTACAGAATGGATGATTCGTAGCACGAAATGTCGGTCTTTTCCTTGGGGACTTGTAATTCTTTATATTGAAATACAAGTTCCGACATGTATTAGCAAATGGTAACTGTCGTAACAGCATTGGTTAGGGTAGTAAACGGTATGATATAATCCAATACTGAACAAAGAAAACTAAACAAAAAACAAAAAACAAAAAACAAATGAAATGCAAAATTAATCCAGACTTTAGATAATGCTATGAAGATACTTCTACCACAATATATCAATATAATCTCTTATATGGTTAGATATACTGGCTTACCTCTACTTGATCGTTCATTGCACGAAAAAAAATTATAGTATGATTTAGAAAAAGTCACGTGTTGAACTTTCCAGGTATTACACTGTATCATTCTTCATACTTTATTATACCGTGTCGTATGCTATATCATCTCATTCCGTATAGTCTAACCGTTTCGTAAGATATCGGGATATGGTCTGGATGACAACACTTAGGGTAATTAATGCGAGTTCTCAGGAAGAACAGGTTACTAGTTGTGATTGGACCCGCCTTTGATGATCAATATTTGTTGTATTTATTATTCTTAATGAACGATAAAGATGATTATATTGTAAATATCATCGTTTAGACTATGAAGAATTTATATTGACTTCATGTTGTAATATATAATTTAAATATTGACGGCTTGGAATTTTTTACGTTTGTAGTCTCCCTTCTCGATTTTTGCGGCCATTTATTGCAAACGTACCGGGCGGTAAAATAACAAAAAAAACATGGTAAGATATATTAAAGTACATTATCGTATTATAATATAGTATCTACTATGATCCATAATATGGTTTGTATCATAATATAGTATCTACTATTATCCATAATATGGTTTGTACGATATTAGGTATGTACGGTGCGTTCTATTGTACTGTTGTGAATTATCATGATGGCTTGGAAAGCAATTCAACAAATTTATTTTGATAACTGAACCCAAGCCTGCTCTTCCATTACTTTTGGACTCGCCGTACACTCCTGTTTCATTTAGACCAACTATAGTCTCATATATATCCTAACACGATAATTGAGTAGAGTGGTGATAGTTTGAGTGATCACGTGAGTCATGTTGATATGCCTCGGCCAACTACTCCAGATTCTTAACAAGTAGTGATCTTACGATAGCATTGAAGGTTAAATTGGAACTATACAATGTCTAACTTGAATAGAGTCTTAGGAGATCAAGGAAGAGCTTTAGTAAATGGAAGTTTCCAAAACTATCTGCAACCTACTCCGCAAGATTTAGATTTCTTGATAAATGATTTAAGATTCCCTCTGCCAGATACTACCATTCACAAACTTTTAGGTTATTTATACCATTATATCCCTTATGTTAAATATGAGCATAATCTCAAATTGGTAGTAGCAAGCTTTCTTAACAATCCATTATGCTTTTGCCATGAGGGTGCTCCATTTGAATCCAATTATATGATCATCGAAGTTTTCAAGTTGATTGCAGACAAGAAATTAAGAATCTCCAAACCAACATTGTCAATTAAGTCGTGGTATACAATTATTTTAAAAGAGATCAACAATTTTGCCCTTTTCAATCCCCAAATAAATAGTTGGAAAGTATTGCCTATTATTAGTGGTTTACTATTATCAAATGACTTGAGAAATATGCTTTACACCAAAGATTATCCGCTTGAGTATAGATGGTTTTTCAAAGACTGGGATGAAAAGATAACGAAGCTATTCAGATACTGTTTGAAATACACTCTTTCGGCCGTTCATTCAGACGATGTCATCAACTTAACTTTGGTTAGTTTAGCAATAACATACAAAAAAGAAGAAGACATTAGAGATTATACGCTGAACATATCTAGCAATTTTATCATTTCGAGATTGATTCACTTGATATTTGGAGAATCAGATATATCAGCAGCTGTGTATACGAAGTTCTTTTTTATAAATCCAGGAGATTCACAAGCTGAAGAAATAGCAAAGTCGGAGATTATGCTGAGGCCTGTATTGAAACAACTAAACAAACTTTCATTTTTACTAGAGAGTTACTTCAAGAGGCTCCCTATCCATGAATCTTCATTTCCCTTGATTTTGGATAGCTTGGATAGAATTCATACATTCAATAAAGCGTTGTGCTTCTCAACTCAAGCATCATTTTTCAATCAGAACCCTGTGCAATCTACAGATGGTACCGCAAATGCCCTTAATCAGCAATTTTGGTACTTGATGAAGACTCTTTTATTCGCAGAAGTTGTTGTTTATCAGGGCATTTTAACAAGGTTTTTAACTTCAACAGCAGGTAATAATTTAACTTTCTTTTCAAAACTTTATACTTCTAAATCATTTAATTCATTGGAGTTGGAATACAAGCAAATATCTTTGAAAATTTTGCATAACCTATATTATATGAATCACATTTCACACTCCATTGGACAGGGGGGCTTTGATAGCTACAATTTTGTCTATTACTTGACCTTAGAATTTGCCTTGAATAATGGGCCATCTACGTATGAATTTGAAAACTTAACTAGGTTCTTGATAGGAGATTATCAAGAAGTTAATCTATTTCCAGATGTCATCAACAATAATTATATTGTTCGTTGTAAAGTATTGTTTGTTTTAGGATTATGGGAGAATTATTTGCAACAAGAAAAACAAAACCAAGCATTTATAAAGCAAGAAATATTTTCAGTATGTCTTCATTTAGTTGATGATTCCATATTTGTTGATCCTGAATTAATTGAAGCAAGTCATTCAGTCCTTTTGATTTGCTTTTCCAATGAAAAAAATAGTACTAGTCTAAAAGAATCAACTGAATACGTTCAATTGCTCATCAAACAATTCCCGAGGTTATTATCCCCGAACCAATTAAGCATTGGGGTAGAAACTGTTGGAAAGAAGATATTATCTAATCCAATCTCCTATAGTGAAGGTTTTCATGCTAATTCAGTTGACGAATTTTTGAACTTTTTATATTTTGCTTGTCTACATGCAAGATCTGGAATTTCTATAGACTCACATGAGAGTACTAATGAAGTTGCATTTGCATCAGCACAGCCAATATCTGAAATTGCTGCATCGTCTACCATGAGCCATTTAGATAAGAAAAAGAATGAAAACACTGATATCATCCGTGCCAATAAGAGAAAGAAGCCGAAAGCAATAGTCAATTTAAGATTGCCAAAAAACAATTCCTCCAAAGACTACAAGTTTGAAAGACGTACAAAGCCTGAAACAACTAGAGAAGCTTTGATTGTCTCTACAATAAACTTAATCCCTTACTTGCCGTTATCAATATTTACGAAATGGCTAAATAAGATTTGGAGTACGATAGAAATGAGTAACGCTCGTGAAATTCCATATTTGACATCAATGTTATGGAAGGTTCTTAGTGAAAACATGGACTTGAATAGATGTGAAATCGGTTTCAGGTGGTGGTACGAATCAAAACGAGCTGCAGAGAACCTTGAACTTTCATTATTGAAGCTTTAGTATGTATGTGTCTATATGCAGGATATGTATATCTTCTATAAATTTTTACATCTCATCGCTTTGGAACATAAAGAATAACTAAATAGAATACTCAAATAGAAATAAAGTAATAATGGCCAGAAAGAAGTCTGCTACTAAAAGAGCAAGAGAAGCGCTTGAGAAAGATACAACTCAAGGTGCAGCAGAACCGGTAGTCAAGGATAACATTCCTAAGAAGAAGAAACAAATTCAGGAAGAATCCAACGACGAAGATGAATCTTCCTCATCTGAAGAAGAAGATGAATACGGTAATTTAATCACTAATAATGTTCAAGAAGGGATTAACAAAATATTAAGCACTCTTAAAAGTGACCCAAAAAGGTTATTAGACCCTGAAGTGAAATTCTTTGAAGACCCAGAAAACGAAGAAGTCGGTTCTCAAACCAACAAGAGTAAAGAAACGCCAATTTATTTGAAAGATTATCATAGAATGAACTTATTATCAGGTGATTACAAAGATGATGATGATAATGAGTTTGGAACGGTAGATGGTGAAAAACCATACGCTATCACTCAAAGAGAAGAAAGAAATCAATTAATCTCTGATATTAAAAGCCAGTTTAATGATGAGGATGAGAATGATGATGATGATGATGATTTCTTAACGAAAAAAGAAAATGTCAGATCTAGAAACTTCGATGTAGAAGAGACGAAATTGCCAGATCCAGAAGTCAATCAAGAAGAATTCTTGAGTGCTTTCATTGATAAGCAAGCTTGGATTCCTAAGAAAAATGATAAAGTTATCGATTTAGATAAAATTGATAACGAAGATGATGAGCAGTTTGATCAGGCTGTGGAAGATTTTGAACGTGCTTATAACTTTAGATATGAAGATCCAAATTCTGCAGAAATTGTTTCGTATGCTCGTAATCAAGCCACATTAAGAAGATCAGCAACTAACTCTCGTAAAAGACAAAGAGATAAGAAGAATGAAGAAAAAGAAAAAGAAGAAGAAGCCAAAAAGGAGTTATTGAAGAAAAAGAAAACTGCAAAATTGAATAAAGTCATGGATAGACTTGAAAAAATAAAGCAAGCTGTTGGTAATGAAGTAGATGATGAAATCATCAAAAAGGTATTTGGCGATTCCTTATTAAATGACGATTTTGATGATGCGGATTGGGATAGCAAGATGGCAGAAATTTTTAATGAGCAGTACTATGATGCTGAAATATCTAAGCCTGAATGGGATGAAGATGATGAAATCATGGCAGAATTCAATAATCAGAAACAGAATGATGCAGAAGATGGTGATGAATCCCAAGATGAAGAACAACTTGAAGAGGGCAATGAAGGAGAGCCACCGTTAAAGAAGTCTAAGAAGGAGAAGTTAAAAGACAAGAAAGCAGCTAAGAAAGAAAAAGAGTCGTTAAAAGAAAAGGCACAAGAAATAGTTGAGGCTAATACGGTAAAACTTCTTGACGAAGTTGAAGAGGAAAGAGGGCGCTCTAGAGGTAATGACGAAGTCAAATTCAAATACCGTGAAGTTTCACCTGAGACATTTGGATTAACTACAAGAGACATTCTTTTGGCTGATGATAAACAATTAAACAACTTTATTGGGCTCAAGAAATTTGCCCCATACAGAGCTAAAGAACTCAGGTTGAAAGACAAAAGGAAATACACGAAAAAGAAGCATTTGCAAGACTGGAGAAAAGAAGTTTTCCATGATAAGAATGGGCCAAAGCTTCCAAAGGAAAGTTCTGAGAATGAAATATGGATTCCAGTGGATGCAGCTGAAATTGATTCCAAGCATAAACATAAAGGACATAAGAAAGATAAGAAAGATAAGAAAGATAAGAAAACTAGGCATAAGAAATAGAAATCCTCTTAGTTTAATTTTATAAATTTAAATGCATATTTAAAAAGTTACATATTCTATATATTTCTATTAGTCTTTGATGACAGTGAATTCAATTGTATCATCTTCATTGAGTTTTTCGCATTCGAATAAGTCCCCACCAACTTCAATCAATCCAGTCTCAGCAACATAATCAGTCCAATGGTTCAAAAGTTCCTCCAATTTTTTCGAATGACTCTCTGACAAATCATGATTTTCACCAGGATCATTCTTAATGTTGAATAATTGCCACTTATCGGGCCCATGAGGTGCAGGAATATATAAGGCTTTATAGGGTCCTTTTCTAATAGCTTGTTGGCCAAAGAGTTCCCACCCTGTAACTGTTTCTTCTGAGTGAACTTGTGAATCTTTGTTCAGTAAATGAGCTACCCAAGATTTTCCCTTTGGTTTTGCAACTGTACGTCCCTTGTATGAAGTACCTGGATGTTCTACTCCAGCTAAGTCCAAAATGGTAGGCAAGATGTCCATCACAGTTGTAAAAGCGTGAGAAATTTGGCCATTCTTGTCTGCGGAGTCTAAGATTGGAGGATAGTGTACAATTAGAGGACATCTAATACCACCCTCCGAATTATATGCTTTATACATAGATGAAGGACTTGTCAGTGCTTGAGCCCATTGATCCCCATAGTAGACAAACGAATCTTTCTTACCAATATTGTCGAAAGAATTGTTATAATACTTGTCAACAAAACCGGAGATTCTTTGAATTGATAAAGGTAAGGCCTCCATAAACATACCTTCAGCTCCATTATCTGACATAAAAAGAATGAAAGTGTTCTCCAAATCTCCAGAACTCTCTAAATGATCTAAAACCCTACCAATATTTTCGTCTAAAATTTCAACCATGGCAGCATAAGTTTCCATAATCTTTGATTGAATTTCTTTTTCCTCTTGAGTTAAATCTCTCCATCTTTTTCTGATGGTTGTAATTGGATGTGGTTCTACTCCTTCCGGTATAAGTCCTAACTTTGCTGCTCCCTCTAAACGACGTTTACGTAATTCTTCAGGACCATCATCATAAATACCTTTATACTTTGCAATCCTATCATCTGGAGCCTGGTATGGCCAATGAGGGGCAGTATAAGTCAAACTACCGAAGAAAGGTCTTCCCTTTCTATACTTCTCGTCCAAAAATTCTAATCCTCTTGTAGTGAAATAATCGGTAGAATAAAAATCTTCTGGAATTTCTTCATCTGCATTAACTTCACGATCATCTTCACAATATAATGGTGGGAGAAACTTTAAGGTTTCTCCATTTTCATCTCTAGGGAAATACTTGTAATGGTTACCAGCACCAGGTAATAAAGTGAACGACTTTTCAAACCCTCTTTTAATTGGCCAGTAATCTTTTGATAACCCTAAATGCCATTTTCCAGAAAGAAATGTGTAGTATCCACCATCCTGTAAAAGCTCGGGCAATGCTGCTACTCTCTCGTTTAAGTAACCCTCATATCCAGGTTTCCCTTGAAGTTTCTCAGGCAATTTATTTGTGAATTCAGCCATTTGGCCTAACCCTGCGATATGATTGTCAGTACCTGAGAATAACATAGATCTAGTAGGAGAACATGCTGAGGCAGTATGAAAATCAGTAAATCTAACACCATGATCTGCAAGTCTTTTCAAATTAGGTGTATGTATCTCCCCACCAAAAGAATTTAAATCTGTAAATCCTAGATCATCAGCAACAATTACCAAAAAATTTGGCTTATTCAGACTTTTCGTCATTTTCTATTTATTATTAAACGGAATAATGTATAATTATACTGAATTGTCCACATATTGTCTATATATATATATATATATATGTCAAAGATTAACTAATTATATAATAAGATTGCAACAGAAAGCCACAATATTTTAAGATACTCATTTTCCGGACCGGTAAGGAAATTGGTCGGGAATGCAGATAATTCATTACGAACATGATTATTGTAATAATTAACACTAAATTCTCGCTAAATTTGAATTATCCATATGCAAAAATAATTTAAATTCTAATTCAGATATATTATATTAATCGTACTTATTTGGGAAACTGATAATCGACTTTGCAGCTTCTTTTGTCCTTGTTTTTAAACCAAAACTTTTGATGGATTTTCTAGTGTTTTCCTCATCATATGGCGTACTTCTGTTAACCCTCCGTATCCAAATACGCCCAACGACTAAAGCTAAAATAACTATAGCACACATAACTCCGACAATACCAAAAAACCAGTTTAGACCTGGGTGAGTATCGCCTAGACCTGGAACATTAACGTTCATACCAAACAACCCAGTAATCACATTCAATGGGAAAAAGACGGTACCAATTAACGTAACATTAGATAACATTTCAGTAACCTTCTGATTGGAATTAAAAGATTCGACTTGTAATTGTGCCAAATAATTAGAATGGGATCTACTAAAAATCTTTTCATAGGCAAGTAAATTCTGGAACATTGTGACAACGTGATCTTGAATATCACCCAAGTATAATGCTATATCTGCTCTTGGCTGTGTTCTATCAGGTTGAGTTTTCATATAAACTGAAGCTGGATCAATTGAATTATTGGATGTTCCAGGGCCTGGGCCGAATGACACACCTGGCGCGCTCTGGTGATAGCCATGGTTGTGATTATTGCTATAGCCTTGTGGATGAGGACTTTCACTGTCGTAGACTTGTGTATATGATCCGTTATGTGTATGGCCTTGCAAGCCATTTCCATTTTGTTGTGAATAATAATTGCCCTTTCCATTCAAGTTAGGATGTGCTTGGAATATATTTATCTGATTATTGGCGGCCTCATCTTGACACCGTTTAGCAAACATTTTAATAACATCTGCTTTTCCTGACAATAATCTCATTAATGTCATTACCTTTCTTCTTGACTCACCAATTCTTTGAATCATACTGCTAAAACCAACCCGACTTGCGGCAAATACAGAATCCTCGATTGCATCTGCTTCGTACTCAATACCAGTGATAACAGGGGCAAACCCATCTGTGATATCATCTATTAACGCGTAACATAACCAATCAGCACTGACATCAACATAATCTCTTAATTGACGGACTCTTCTTCTCACATTAGCAGGATGTAAAATAGGTGAAAAATGGAACGACAAGACACCTTCTCTGAATACAACAATATAAAAGTTAATTGGCTCCAAGTAATCCTCTGATTCTTGGTCGCCTTCAAAAGTATGAAAACAAACAAAATAATAGTTTCTAAATAACTCAACCTTTTCACGAGTTTCTTGCATACGAATATCTTCAGCCGTCAAGGGATGGATACCAAAAGCTTTGGCCACCATTTTCATCTCGGCGTCAGTAGGACAAACGCAATCAAGCCACCATGTACCTTCACCATTTCTAAATAAATCGCTAACGCTTTGGCCTGGCTTGACCAATGAAGGAATATCAGGTGCATGAATAGTCTCCTCAGATTCAGAACAAAAGAATGAAAATCTGTCTGGCAACATTGAATCGCTATCGTTTATTCTTGTGCCACCAAACTTAACATTTTCAGCAGAAGTGTCATCGTCGCCAGAATTCTTCTCGTTGTATCTCCTTGAGGCGGAATCATCAGTAACAGTGGAAGAATCCGATTGAGCTCTCTCCGAAACGTGAATACCAGACGCGGATATATTATCACCTGTATCTGTGTTCTTTCTACCAAATTTGGCGAAAGAACCTTTTCTTAAAATGTTTGAAGGAGTATACTTTAATGCATTCTTACTAGGGTTAGGGTTGGAGAATCCACCAGAATCGCGAGCACTTCCATGTCCGGTATCAACTCTCATAGCTGATCTCTCCGCAATCATTTGCTGTTGCTCCTTTAAAAGCATCTCATTCTCTCTTTCGTCTCTAATAAACTCTTCAATTTCGTCAAAGTCAATGCCCTTGATCCGGACATGTTCACGCAACATAGGAAAGCACACGTCTTCTTCGGTCTCTTGTGAAGATCTTGATCCGTGTGAATCTGCCTCGCTATCTATCGAAGTACGAGATGGCCTCCTTTCTCTTTTGTTGTGGTTTGGAGCATCAGAAGATACACTTTCATTTGTTTTCAATTTCGTCATTGGTGCAGCGAGATCGGTTTCTAAAGTATCATTGATAACAGAGTTACTTCTGTTATTCTTCTTGGCAGGTTGATTGTTAGATTTCATCAAAATTCCTCCAAATGGAGGAGCTGCCGAAGCTGACTGTCTTTTATGATCCTCGTCGCTATCTTTTGGATGAACAAGCGACCGAACCTGCTCTGAAAACGATTGTGACCTTGAACGTGCTCTGCCCCGTCTAGTAGCAGCAGCTAAGGACCCGCCTGAGCCTCTAACAACTGGAATAGAAGAACTTTGTAGTGGTTGTGGGTTCTGACCCGGAACATAGAGGCGCTCATTATCGTCGTCATCGTTTCTCAAATAAAAGTCTCTCCTCAAATTATTCATATAAGCATTCTTGGTACCTCTGTAGGGTTGTGATGGACTTGGGCCCCCAAAAGACTGCCTCGCTCTGGGTAAATGCCTTTCATCTACACTACTTCTTCCTGGAATTTGTACCATATTAGGTGCTCCACCTGGCATTTGAGGATAAAATGGTTGTTGCAGATGTGGGTCTTGCATAGACTGTGAAGACTGATAATCATCGTCGTCATCATCATCGCTTATGGCCGATGACTGTACCATACCACCACCAGTACCACGAAAAGGTAACGATGGAAGCTGGTTCCGGTGGTCATTCAACACTTCTCCCGTATTTGCAGCTCTGTGAAGAATATCTCTGGATGGTGAGACTGAGCGGAAACTTTCGTTATCGGACATCATGAATTATTTATTTAAAGTAACAAGGGGAAAAAATCATAATTTTTTAAGCTCTTAACGACTGTAGATCATAAATTCTTTGAACGCTATATTATATTGTCTTTCTTTGACTATATCTGTCTCTTGGGTATATATAATGTTAAATAGCCGCTGGATTCGTCTATAGCATTAGAATAGAAGATAAAAAAATTTCCCATGTGGTGAAACGGTCGTTGCGTTTTGTGTCAGAAATTTATTTTTCAATCTTTACTACGGCAAACAATAGGAATGATTTTATAAAATTATGATTATTACTAGCTATAAGAAATAGACTATTTAAACGGTTCAATAGTTCTATTGGTGTTGATAAACTGCATAAACTCGAAATCAGTAAAATAAAGTAAGTTAAACCCAGTCAATTGGATTTTGCAATATTTTAACCAATTTATCTTCTTCGGTTCCCTCCTCTGGATGATGATCGTAGACCCAGCTTGCTGTGGCTGGCAAAGACATCAAAATACTTTCTACTCTTGAGCCGGGGGTCTGTAAGCCGAACTGAGTGCCTCTATCTAGCACTAAGTTGAACTCGACATATCTACCTCTTCTGATCTGCTGCCAATGCTTCTGTTCGTCTGTGAAGGGAGTGTTCATTCTTTTCAAGACAGTTGGAATATAAGAAGGCAAAAAAGCATTGAAACATGACTCGATGATATGTAAAATATCGTCGGCTGGTCTATCGTCAAAATCATCGAAAAAGATACCACCCACGCCTCTAGTTTCTTGTCTGTGCTTAATGTAGAAGTATTCGTCACACCATTTCTTGTATTTGGGGTATAATGTGGTATCGTACTTATCCAAGGCATCCTTATGACTTTGGTGGAAGAGCTTGCAGTCTTCCTCATACAAATACGAAGGAGTCAAATCTGCACCACCTCCAAACCACCATGTCTGGACTTCGTTAGTCTCGGGGTCAGTAGTTTCGAAGTACCTATAATTGGCATGGGTAGTAGGTGCGTGTGGGTTGTTTGGATGAATTACTAAGGATAAACCACACGCAAAGAACTTAACACTGCCATCTTCTCCACATCCCTTCAAATTCTTGTGGTTGACTCTCATTCTACTTACAGCCTGAGCAGGCAAGGTCCCGTGGACAATGGAGATGTTAACACCCCCCTTCTCAAACACTTCACCGTTCTGTAATACCATAGATTGGCCTCCACCACCTTTGTCACCTCTTTCCCACGCATCTGTGTGAAATTTAACCTGATCGATATTTTCTATAGCTTGAGTGATTTCTCGTTGCTTTAGCCTAACAAGAGCCTCCATACGATGTCTAATCGGTATTTCAGTGTTGTGTATGTCATTAGGTGACGCCATGTTGCAAAAGCCTGATAATATTATCGAAAAATTGAATTCTAATTTAAAAGGTCTCTATATATACTTACTCAAGATACCGTAAGAACGATCGCACTACAAGATCACACCATAATTTTTCAATTTTTCACTACTTTTTTACCTGATCAAATAACGAAAGGTAATTACATCAATAGAGCTAATTTATTATATGTAATTATTTATTAAATCAACTAGCTATGGTTTGAGTATATTAAAATTAAATTTATAAAGTGAGTCGAATTCTTTTTTAGTTTATAATCTATTTTTGGATTTATAAAGAAATTAAAGGTTTAAGCCTTCTTCTTCTTTTCTCTGTTACCCTTTGGAACTCTGGCTAACCAGTAGAAGAAGACTGTAAGAATTATGTTAATGGCAATAAAACAAATAAAGATACCCCAGTTTCTCCATCTTTCATCGTAGTATGAATTGACACTAGCTAAGAAAGTGTTGGTGGAATCCATAGTACAAAATTGGCATTCAGATGTAGCCTTTTCGTCTATCAAATACCCACCAGCCATTTTCATGTAGTCAGCCATGTAAGTACCACAATCTTGGCCCTTACTTGGTTCAAAGTGCAATAACTCAGCCTTAGAACATTTTGCTGTAGTGTTAGCTAAACCAGTTGACAACATACCTTGAATGAAGTATGTAAAAGGAGAACATCTGTACATGAAAATCCAAAATCCTGGCAAGACACCTGGACCAGCTAAGACACCACAGAAGTTCAAACACATTGTGAATAACAAGGTAGCTAAGTTAGCAGCATTATCAGCGAGTTCGTTGAAAGACATACATAACTGACCCATTGTCGAAGTATAAACATAAAACGAACAAATGTACATCCATATTAAGACAGCACGTTGGTCGACACTATTAGTTGGAACTGCATTTTGGTAAAATCCAACAGGATAAAACCAGCAAAGGAATGCAATTGTACCACAAAAGATCTGGTATGGTATTTCAGACGTTATTTGAGCTGTAACAAATGCGAACCAACTGAATGTCTTAGATGGTGCTTCCCTAACTTCGTAAACATCTCTCTGCTTAACAAAATATGGTAACATTTGTTGGACCAAAGTATTGAATGGAATCAAAAACATAAACATAGCAAACATCTGATTTTGTAATCCTTGTATTGATCTATCAGCCTTAAAGAATGAAAACCCATTGAACAAAGCAGAAGAAACAACTAAAAATAATTTGGAATAGATATAGGTTGGAGATCTCCAGTTTTGTTGGAAAACTCTTTTAGTAACAATAATATATTGTTTCCAAATTGGTGCAGCATACGATTTTCTTGCTTCTGGAGATTCATCTCTAGGCAAGTTAACTAATTCACGTTCCATACTGTTCAATTCCGTGTGCATAGACTCATATTCTGAAGAATTCTTCCAAACTTCATGATAATCTTGATTAGCATGACTACCTGGTGCAGCACCAACAACTTGTAACATCCATTCGGCTGGATTGGCCTCTTCTGGACAGTGGTGTGCTCCATACTTTTCAAAGTAATTGATTAAAGTCAGACAGTTCTCTCCTAAATCACCAAAGTAAACAGTCTTACCACCTTTTTGTAAAAATAATAATCTGTCAAATTCCT